TGCCGAGTAACCGGGCTCTGTTAATCAGGTTATGTGTACTTTCAATTCACCCAAGACAACCTGGGGTGAAGTGTCGACAGCAATTAGTGAATATCTTTTTCACAGCAGACATTTTCACTCGTCAAAGCAGGAGAAGCACAGGTGTTACTAATAACATTAATGATGGCTCTGTTTTATTAAAGTGTCACCGTGAGTCATGACAGCGTGACAGCGAGCCAGTATGAGCAATACTAGGACCCTGACACTGAAGCAGCGTCATTACTTTTATTATTTACACCTTGAGCTTTTTCTACTGCGACATTTCAAAATATGTTGAGTGAAAATTATTGTTGATTAAATGCTTTTTAAAATCACATTTCTGTAGATATATAAATACAAGTAATTATAACAAAATATTGCAGGTAATTTATCAAGAGAAAGATGGCTGATCACACAGGCTCTTTGCTTCTTACTTAGTCTGTGTGAGTTTGATGCTTTGCACAGGAGCAACCCTAAACTCAGTCAGTCTCATTCAATTTCCTACATCTCAGATGGAGGTTGTGTTGCTACAGCAGCAGCATAAAGAATCATGTACCTCATGCTTAACCAGCACTGTGTCTGCATACACACATTTCAGGCCTGCAGGTGGTTAGAAACATTCTCACACATTATGCAGCCTACCTTATTTCATCTGGTATCTGAAAAGATTCTTCTTAAGTTCCTTCAGACATCCGTCACTCTGGACCTAATCCTTCTTCCCCCTATGCATCCTCTGCTGCCATTGCACCCATTTCTCCCTCGTCCGAGTGCTCCTATCTGTCATGGCAGCTTGTCACACTCCGTCATTTCCCCCCAGGACAGATCAATCGTCTCCACACAGAGGACACATCAGCTCCGTAACATCATTTGCTCCGCACTCACAACTAATGACGTGCTGTTTCTGTGTTTTGCATTATTTTCGACTATTTTTAGACTGGGGGACTTAAGAACATAATTGGATTTGCAGGGCAAGCTAACGGCAGATGGGGCAGCAAAGGACCAGGCCATTGTAGGCGGCACTGTGGTAATCTGATGTTTCAGCCACAACTAACACATTAATTGTCCCACTTTCTATTAGGGCCTTACATAGATTAAGTTGACTGGTCAATGCACATGGCTCGGTGAGTAAGCAGATGTCATGGAAGATATGCTACAGGCTCGCTCCACCAGGGTTGAAAAAGCATTCAAATTTTACTAAATAATAGTGAGAAAAAACAAATTGACCTATGTAAAATTACATAGAGCCATATTAAATGTCAAATGTGGACAGGTAACACCAGTAAAGGTGTTACTCTGAAAATTGTATTTAGATGTGGTGTAAAATGTAAAATATTTAAGGACATATAGTTGAGTATAAGTAGGTCAGGAGTGGTCTAAGACTATAAAGACTTATTAATTGACACCCTCAAAGGTTACGGTAATGGGGGCCTCTAAAGGGTACTCTTCTTATTCCTTTTTTTGCTGTTTTGTGTGCAACTACGTCCCAGTTATTTGCAGTATTTTCTCGTCCACATACTTGTAAACATATGAAATGCTGACCCACCACTTCGTCCTCAGCCACATCATCAAGAGGGGGCTTGTAACTTAGTCTGGATTTACGTCTCTGTCCTTTACGGCCCAGGAAACGATAAACACGCTGACGTGCGGAGGAAATGTGAAGGTTATACAGGCAGTGCACGTGACCTCCTGTCTTGAGCAGTAGCTGTCATAAGGGTCAGATCTGAGTGATTGAATTGATTGATTGACCTAATTAGATACACTTAATCTAGTATGCTAATCTGGGTGCTGAATTCTCACAAAATGGTGCTGGAAAGCATCAGGAGGACAGTGCTGATTAAATGATTTATGTAGGATTTGAAATTACTGACAAATCATCTTTTAGGGCACTGTACTCCATTATAAGCCTTGCTTTCTTTGATAATGCATTTGGTTAGGTTTGGTCCAAATGTTTTTATGTAAAATCTAAATCTGAATGTAACTAGTAACTCTAGCTAGCTTTCTTTTTTTTTTATAATTTATTAATCCCCTGAGAGGAAATTCAATTTTCCGAAAGACACACATGGATGGTCCACAAACAGGACCTATACATGCACAAAGTGGAGAGATGTCAGAGTGAGGGGGCTGCCTTGGTCAGGCGCCCCGAGCAGTTGGGGGTTCGGTGCCTTGCTCAAGGGCACCTTGGCAGTGCCCAGGAGGTGAACTGGCACCTCTCCAGCCACCAGTCCATGCTCCATATTTGGTCCGGACGGGGACTTGAACAGGCGACCCCCCGGTTCCCAACCCAAGTCCCTATGGACTGAGCTACTAGTATGGTATATAGTATACAGTGGCATAGAACTGAATTGCTTGGGTAATATATGCAGGGGCAGATTATCAAATAACGGGCCCCTGGGCACAGATATGCAAAACTACCACAAAAACACCACAAACAGTGCAAAGAAACCAGAAAAGACACAAAACAATGTCAAAGAGACACAAAATTATAAAAGATCCATAAGAAGTAAAGAAAGACACAAAACAGCTACAACAACAACAAGGGGCAAAGCCACCACAGAGTCTGTGTCTTGCTCCCATGTAGTGGAGGTGGTGGGGCCTTTTGCATATCTGTGCCCAGGGGCCCATTGTTTCATAATCTGCCCATTACGGCACTTGAAGTACATAAAGTTGCAATAAAATTCTAGATGATGCAGGAGCAGGAGTTCTTTTGCAGTGCTAATAGGCTTTTTAGAGGTTTCTTAACTCTGACATCAAATAAAATACAGAGTTGAGACTTAGATTTGATCACTGAAACAAATTTCTGAAATTGAGTGGACACATTTATGAGCCAATCAAGTTTACCTTTGGATACTACTATTATCGCAAGAGCTGAGTATTTCAGACAAATAAAAATGACTGCCGTAAGAGAGGAAAAAGAGCATTGTAAGATCTTACATTATGATCAGGCTGAGACAAGAAGAAAGCTATTTCTCAAGAGAGGAATTAAAAAAATATCCCATAGGAAAATGGTCATAATCTCAGATTGATGTTATACTGAGCTCAGTTATGTCTGGGGAGAAATAGTCTGGAAAGAGAAAAGATATTATTTTGAGTTTTTGTTTCCTCTACGAAAGCGTATTGCTGCCACAGCAGGAAAAAAATAATGTGTCAGTATTAAGTTATAACACAAAAAGTTTATTGTTAAGTTTTTCACATTATAACAATACTAGTCCATACCCACTGGTAGCTTTGTCACCTTCTACCTATGCCAGTTCTCAATGCCTATGTGCAGTTTCACATAGATTGACCACGTCAGTGAGTAGAAAAACGTGGGACAGACAGAATGACTGACTGACAGAATGACACACTGACAGTTTCCGTGATTATGTACAGCATACCATACCATGACTTAGTCATACCAAAAATTAGAAAAAAAAAACATTGGTCCACAGGGGGAGCCACAGCGATCGGTCGCATTTTAGCCATTTTGAATCATTTTTCTGTTGTTATAGCGCCACCCAGTTGCCAATTAGAGTTAAATTTCTGCAGTCACCTTGAGGCGTCCTGTTCTACATATCTACCAAGTTTAGTAAAAATCGATATAGGCTAGCGGTTAGGCCGAGATACGAAATTAGCTCTCTAGCGCCCCCATTTTGTTTGATGGGGTCAATAATGGAGGGGTCTCCTCAGATTATGTGTGGTCATATGACTACAAAGTTGCGTGGTGATCGGTGAAACCCTTGAGATGTTATCCACCTTTATGTGATGAGCCACGCCCTCCGCAATATTCATTGCCTTATAGAAGCTCAGTTTTAGTAAGTTTTCCAACTTTTGCCAAGAGGGAACTTTAGATATTGGTCCCTAGATTATGTTCACCGAGTTTCATGCAGATCGGTCAAACTTCCTAGGAAGAGATTGATTTTAAGTGTTTTTCAAAAAATTCAAAATGGCGGAAAATCTACATTACCGGAAGTTATGGGTTCTTGAGGCAAATTTGTTCCTCATGAGGAGAGGCATCTCTGTGCAAAGTTTCATGTCTCTACGATATAAGGGGCATGAGATATGCCCATTCAAAGTTTGCAATTTCAATCGGTTATTATAGCGCCCCCCTTTGGCCAAGTGATGTAATATTGCTTCATTCGCATCCTCCCATGACCCTCTACCACTGTGCCAAATTTCACATGGATTGACCAAGTCAGTGAGGAGAAAAACATGGAACAGACACAGACGGAGTTTTCGTTATTATATAGTAAGATAGTAAGATATTTTCACGTTAAAACATGATAATTTATATTGTTAGGACATTAAAAGTTCCACATTACAATGCAATATTTGGTCTTGGGAGGAGGTGCACCCATATTCTCCGGTTGTGATTTGACACTTGGCTATTTGCAATGAACAGACATCAACATGGCCCAAAACACAGATAACATGAAACTATGTTGTTATATCATGAAACTTTTCACAATATAACTTATCAGGTTTTAACATAAAAACTATATTTTTATAACGTGAAAAACTTCTTGTTAGAATAATAAACTTTTCACGCTATAACTGATCCATCATTTTTTTTCTGATGTGGCAGCAATAGGCTTCTGTACCTCTTGATGTATCTACCACATATAATTGAGCATTTGTATTTTGCAATAATTTATGTTTTTTATCTAAATAAGTTACAGGCTACATTAGCCAACCTCTACCTTATTAAAACGAGTGTATATAAATATGTGAGTTGAAACAGTTTTCTTTGGTAGCAGTAACTGTCAACAGTAAATGTCAGTGAGAAATGTACTGAAAAAATGCTATCTAAATATTTACTCTAAATACTTTCTGTGTATTTATTTTATGTCAAATTATATGAATACACCTGTAAATTCCTGTAAAATAGCAGTACATTCACGTTGTATGCGGTGTCATTTGAAAACGTTGCGAAATCGTCGCTTCCGCTTCCCGGAGCGGCTGCCGGGAACGCGCAGGCGGTCTTGAACGTCCCCCTGGTCCTCATTGTGCAGCCGAGGAAACATCGCAAGGTTTCGACGACGTTGGTATGAAATGGCAGAAACTGCTTGTGTCACGGAAGCACAAAGATTAGGTTACGTAGAAGCTACACATGTATTCTGCGATGATCCCGGCCTGCTAGTGTGAGGGAAACGGGAGTGTATCCGGAGGAAAAAGGGATTAAAGAGCTGTTTTTCTCCTTTAAAAAAAAAGAGAAACGTCCGGGTTGTGTCTCCAGCAGGCAGCAACGGCGACTGCGGGTCGACACTGGTGGAATTAACCGGAGAGGGGTGAGCTCGACATATGGATTTTTATCTTCCTATCAGACATGTTTGACGTGTTATTTGTCAACAGTTGGGGGATGGGAGCAGACAAGTTCGGGTCACACACACGTTACTGTAAATAGGTGTTACTACAATGTACACGGTGACCACCACAGCAGGCAGGACAGGTCTGGCCTAACTGGGAAAAGGCAACCAGACTGAGTGGCTACACTGGGAAGCACACTGCTGTAACCTATCCATGTCAGGGCTACACACACATTAGCACCGCTTCCACTGTAAACTGTGAACTGTGGGTGGTGTTACCGGTCATGGGAGTAGTGAAAGGTTCAAGTAAAGCGCTGTGACCTCCAGTGTGTGGTCACCGAAAAACGATAACATCCTCCATGTAAACAGAAATCACTTACTGACGCCTTTGAATACACCCCGTTTTCGCCAACACTGATATGTACTGCTGTGATATGATCTTGCATGTTTCTGTTAGCCTGTAAGGTGCTCAGTTCCTGCACTGTGAACTGAGCAGAGGTGGGTTTACTCTGGCTATTATGCTGTAGCAGCATCTCTCTTAATTCAATAACAACAGTGGGCAGATGGGATATCAATATGTGGCTATATGCATGGCTGCAGTCTGTCTGTTGATATGGTCTTTATGTGATTTATGTGATGTGCTAATGGCCTCACTGACCTGCACACTGAAAGGTGAATGGGAATATTCCTCCTTGGCAATTGCATAATCATCTTTGTTGTAACAATCAAATGGTGAGCATGTCTTAACAGTAAAGTAGGATATCTTATCAAGCCAGGGGATCAAATGTGAAGTTTTGCAATCCATCAAATTATCATTGATATTAATCTCTCAATCTGGTTATTAGAATTGTCTGATCAAAGGTAGGTTAGTCAGGTTGCAGCTTGTGTGTGTCTTGTGTGTTATACTATTTATCTAACATGTTCCTGCAGTAACATTCGGGGTGATGTAGCTCCCGGACTGCACTGCACATTGCTAGCGAGGTTTTCTAAGCAACCTGCCAAGAGAACAGCAGTGGTCAGCCAAAAGCACCAAGAAATCTGATTCCTGCACCAAAAGCAAAAGGTGCCCGCAGAGATGGGATTATGAGTGCTGGCTAACACATAACAAGCCCACATTCATATCTGAGAGTCCTATTGGTTGATGCTGACAGATCTGCAGCTTAATTATATGTTAATATTATATCATTATAATATTTCTCAACAGATAAATCACGGTGTTAACAGTATCAAGGTTGGCTTTTGATTTCTTAGCTCCTCTGTGCTAATATTACACAGAATGAGTGCCTTTTTGTTTAAAAACTCCATAAACAGGTCAGCTTATACTGCTCACAGGTGCATACCATAAATTGCCTTGGTAGGTCTAGTCAATATTTGATATGAAGACAGGCCACACTGTGGCATGTGCTGCTTGCTCCCCTCTAAGCTGACAGCCAAAACCAGCCCTGACAAAATAAAACAACAGTGTGCAACAGTTCAAACAGTCATGGGTGAGTGCTAAGACAGTTTCCTTGAGAAGGAGTCACCACTCTCTCGTGTCTTTCCACACCTTTGGATCATGTTCAAATCCTCTTCTGCAACATGTGATATTTCATTAGTTGTTGTTTTTATCCTTGTGAAAATGTACTTTGTGCTTACACCTCATGTAAGCCTGCTCAAATAAGGCTTGTTGTAAAGATTACAAGCACAGTTTGGTATATATAACAATAATAATTATGCAGCTGAGCAACATGGCAGAAAAAAAAATTGCTGTCTTTTTTTTCCACAACAGTCCACATTTGTATACATAGCATCAATTTCAGTCACTAGTCCTCTTGTTAGAGATTCCCTTAAGCTTTAATAGATTTAGAAGCTAAAATATGATGAAGCATTGTCTGAGCTGAAAATAGAAAATCTATTGGGAATAATCAATGTACAAAAACAAACAATGATCTACAGTCATGTCAGTCAGAAAAGATAGCACGTGCTGCATATCAGCACCATGTCTGTCTTTTGCCATTAAAAAAGCAACAGCATGTGTGAGTTGTTTATTAAGGGGGTGGAAAGCATATAGTAATGTAACTATTTGTTATGGGGGTGTTTCTCTGAGTCTTGCTGCATGCTCCAGTGGATAGGTGTATTTACTGGTGTTTGAGACGGTGTGCTTGCTTGCTCTGCGTGCTTCATTGGATAGAACTTTGTAAGGTATTCTCTCATCCACTGCATGGCCAAATGGGGCTTTAAGTAGCAGAAGTATGTGACATCACCCATTGGTTTGTGGACTTCCATTCTGAAGCCTGGAGTTTGGCATTTTGGCCAACATCTTCTTGGATTTTTGAAGCCAAAGGTGACCATATTTGGACGAGAAGGTGGAGCTAACCTTTAGTCTAGCTGCTTGCTTGGTTAGCATGGTGCATTTACATGTCGCTGAAGATTCTCAGTCATCCAGGTCATGGTAATCACAAGTGCGTTATCGTCTGTACCTGAACTTGCTTGCGTTTCTTGAAGACGCATCGCCTCTCAGATGTTTCGCCTCTCAACTTGGATGAGAGGCGAAACATCGTTTAGAAATGCAAGCAAGTCTAGTTACCTACAATATAGCACTTATGAGGTGCATTTACAGTCACAGTTAACAGTAATAATGTTAATGCAACTTTTTGCCAGCAGAAAACAAGCTAAAATCCATTAAAACAAAATGTACTAACTGGAAAAAAAATATGTGACTCCTAAGAATGTCTTTTATTTACAACTAAACACTGAATGATACATTTTTAGGTGATCAGAATGTTATTAATTAACTTTCATGAAGTTAAAACACACTGAAATAGCGACGGCTATGCCTAATCAGGGGTTACGCCATGGTTACGTTGCCTAATCAGTGTTGTCGCCAGGTGGTGACTTGCCAGCACACGGCATCCACCTGCCACTGAAAGTGTCCACGCTCTTGATTATGCATAACTTGACTAATGCCTTAATAGCTTTGCTCGTGGAGCCAGCCTCTGGTGGCCATTCGAAGAACTGCAGTTTTTGGCACTTCTGAGTCAGCTTCGTATTTCAACCCCTAGTGGTAGCAGGTTGGTGTTACCCTACCACTGATGTGCTGTTACCTCACATAAATTAATTTCTGTGATGAGCTTGGTTGTTAATACGTTGTCAACTAATGTAACTTATCAACAGTATATTTAAATATCAAATTTCTTATCAAGGACGTTTTCTGTAGTGATCAGCTTTCATATAGTCCAACTATAATTGAAAGGATTGCATTCTTTAATGTACAAGACAGAAAAATGTAATTTTTAGCATGTCTTTGATTGTTGCAGAGCAGGAGAGATGCTTTTTTCACCTGACAGCAGATCACCTATGTTGAGCCCAAATTCCCTGGCATGAGTGACTCCCCTCTAGTGGTCATATTTCAGACCCTCACACAACAGCTGACTGCATGTCCGAATGTTGAATTTTGTTCCGAGTTTTTGTCTTTCAGTTTATCTTGTTTTCTTTTGCTTGTTTATTTTTTTTGTTTAGATGGGGGCAATTTGGTTGCGTAAAATATTCCTCATTGTTGTGTCGTCTTTTGTGATTAGCACATTACCTAAAATAGGGTTCAAACTGCAGGGAGTTTGAGCGTAAACACCCTCAAATTGTCCCTCCAGACAGTCAGAAATGTGGCATAGTGCCTTTATTGGTAGCAATGTTCGACACAGACTGTGCCCTTATGAGCTCTTATCAGCAGCCATTACTTCGACTGAATGTGAGTGATTCAAAGATACAATCTATCTCCCAAATTGCAGGTGGACCCACATAACTCCAACCACATTGATAAAAGAATCTGGACAGTGAAGTCGCTGCGTTCGGAGTGAACAGGAGCGGACCCGTGATAGCAGATGAGAGGCAGGTTGACTCCCAGGAGAGACAGTGTGATGGACAGCGGTGAGGAGAGAGACCAGTGTAAATCTGGGCAGGATTGTCAAGATGAATGTGTGTTCACTTCCACAGAAGCCATATCTGACACTTTCTGACACAGTTATCTGTTCTTTTCTGTCTGGTTGTCACAGATATTATTTTGTCACAGTCAGTGATTTACAATGGAAGGCGACAACTGTGTCAGCAGTGGTTGGTGGGAGAGCTGTGATAAAGCTGCAACTTTGATGCCTCAGTGTGATTTTGATAAGGATTATCAAGAGATCTGAATGAACTTTGACCTTTGAAGGTGTCATGTGGCCAGATAGATGAAACGACTTATTGGTTTGTCTTTTGCTTTGTTGTATCTCTGTGTAAAGACGCAGAACCCACTTATTTACTGAGCTAACATATTTCATTCATTCATTCTTTATGGCGTGCAGCCCTGGCTGTGTAAGTGTGTGATGGGAGGGGCACACACACACACATGCGATTCTCAGCCTACTAGGCCTAACAGTTGAATTGGGTTGACAGCCTGACACACACTGTCATATCTCTCAGCCCCGTTTCCACATGCAGCCACAGATCCTCCTTTCTCACAGTCACCCTGATATGTGCTGCTCCGTTTTTCAAAACGGGAGAGAAAATCATGTCACGCCACACGCTGAAGACTAACAGCAGCTCAGACATATTCTGCAGTGTTTAAATAGGCCTTGTAGAACATGATGTGAGTACATACTCTCTCTCCTCTGCGGCTTATATTTGATTTACCGAATGACATTTTCTGAAAAGCACTATAGAAGTTGCTTACATATTATTTCTGGTCCCTTTGCATCCAGATACCACTGGCAAATGAAGCTGACATTTTTTGCTGCTGGGTGGATCAGTGTAAAGATTGGATGATATGCAACATCAGACTGAATAACATGGAAATATAGGGATGAGAGATCATGATATATCAGGGTTGTTATAGCAGTCATATTCATGTAAATATATTCTTGCAGCTTTGCTACAGTTGGGAAGTAAACACATGAACAGATTTTGTTTTGTTAGGTCTAAATTAAGCTTAAAAAGATCCATTGTTGCGCTCTGCATTTAGCCTACTGAAG